TATTTTTCTCTTTAACAATGACTTTCTAATTTACCCGTAGTTGTTCTTTAATAAAGGTAGTGTGTCAAAAATTATGATTATATTTAAATTTTTTTACCTACTATTAACTCATCCGGGTTTAGTAAAAAATTCGATCCTTTTGATGTCATGTTTAGCTATTGGATTTTAAATCAAATTATATTTCAAAAATATGCTTTTTTCCATTCAATACTTTGGATTAAGATTAACCAAAATATTCATGTAATTAGAAAGCTGAATAAAGAAGAGCGACTTTGTCTCCTCTAATTTTATATGTTTCTGAACAAATAGATAACCTATCTCAAATTATAGCCAATATAATCTCCCTCTTATTAGGAATTTAAGATATAGTAGTTCTTGCACAAATTGTATAAAATTGATGAATCTTATATATACTAGCTTTTAATTAAAAGAAATTAGAGTTAAACATTTGAATGTCTTTGAAGAAAAGCTAATACGTAGCTTATAGAAATTCTATTCAGAGTATTCATGCAATTGTGGATTCCTAAGTACTAAAAGTTTGTATATCACAAACATGCTTATAAACTATTGTATTTCAAATGTGCAAATATTACCAATGCTGAAAGATCTAATAGAAGAAAGTAGCATATCAATATTACGAACATCTCTATTAAATATTTTTGTAAAAGGGAATTAAGATGTTGAAGAGAAGAGATGTACACTTCGAGTCATATAACAATTACAGGTAGACTCATGAGTAGGCAAATAAAGCCACATATATGAATGATACAACAAAAGTGATGCTAAATGACTAGATTGCTCTCATGCATTTTGAAAAAGACACTAAACATTTATCAGATGCATAGCAAAAAATATGAGCAAAATTGAATAAAAACAAACCTGCAAGTAGAAGCAATTTGAGGAAGATGAAGATGTCTCTAAGAAGCAACGGAAATCTGAAAGTGCAAACAAAATGGAGGAAACCTAATATGTTGTCTATGTAAAACTTACTTGGGCTCATTTAAAACTTACACGTAGCATTTTGTATAGAAAAACTAAGCCACATGTATAGTAAATTTGTATGAATTGGCGCGAAAGGACTAATATACCCTCGAGCTTTTTAGAAATGACATAAAACACACATGTCGCCATTCCAGCTTTTCCTTAAGTTTCTTCTTCACTCTGACCACTAGCTTTTACTTGATATCTGCAATTTTTTCATTTGCTCTTTGGTTTTTGGGTTTTTTATCATATATGTGAATTCTTCAGAGTTTCTTGGTGATGCGATTTTAATGATACGTGTTGGTTTTTGCAGTTTCCTTCTTTGTGTTTTTGGGCTCTGGTTACATCACAATATCTAAACTTATTCAAAACATCTTTATATTGAAACTAATTGGATCATTGCTATAATAAGTTGTGAATTATATCTATTTCTCTTTTAATAAGCATAAAGCAATTCTACCATCTATTCTAGATTTGATACTTATTGGCTCTTCGACAACATATGATAGTTCAAACTATTTTGCTTTAGAAGCTTTTGTTAGGGACCAATAGTCAAGACCTCAGGAAATATCTGTTTTGATCGAAACTATTGCATTATAGAAATTTCTACACATTAAGATACCAATATGTGTTCATTTTTTAATCATGTCTAATATTTAAATGTTGTAATTGATGCTCATTTATGCTGCTTAAGCATTGACATTCCCATGTTGATTTAAGATAGTGATTTAACAATTTTGTTCTATTTTATACAGCAAAAAACCAACGAAATTCACACTCTGGGAAGAATTTATTGATCATGATGGGAATAAACTACTCGAACTGCTTAAAAAAGAATATCCAATCATTCTTGCTAAAAAGGTTGCAAGACCAAAGTCGTCGTCAGGTAAAACACCTCAAATGCATACAAGATGGAGTAACAAATTCAATACAGGTAAAGTATATAAGCAATTATATTTTAGTTTTTCATATACCAGACGACCAAATTAAAACTGAATGTTCAAATGCATGTAGGATTGACTAACAGATTCAGTACAACAATCGAAATCAATCCTCCATACCCACAAGCAAATGTGCTGAGAACATGGTATTGTAATCAATACATTATTGGTCGTATATGTGCTTGAACATATACAAGAACTAATTTTGAAATGTTAGCATACTTGAAGGGCCCAACAAAATGAACAAATGCTTATTGCGTACACAATGAAGAGCACAGGTCCAACATGCTCTCTTTTATTTGTTCCTTTCGAAGAAGAGATAGTACCGATTGCAGAAATCCGACAACAAAATCCAGTAAGTGCACTAAATATTCATATATGCATTGTTACAAATTTTTACCTTTATTCTCTAATAACAAAAAATTAATATGCGGCATCATTGTGTTTTCCAGGGTCAAATATTCTACATACATGCTGAAGTCGCACTACAAAATGAGAACCAACGATTTTGTATCCTAGCTTGTTCAGACTGCAAACAACACTTCACACGAGCTTTCTCACGGAGAAAGTTCTATTGCACTAATTGCCGTCAAGCTACCCAATTGGTTCCCAGGTATACATGCAACTTTCACATAACTGTTTGTATTTAACATTCTACATTTGCCATCTTTTTAATTAATCAATCATTTTATCTTACAACTAGGTGCCAATTTGAAATGACGCTCACAGATCAGAGCGGTTCTACAACAACAACTATTGTCGATGAGTATGCAGAAAAAACATTGTTTCTCACTTCGAAAGAGATTTATGATATCTGCAATGTCAAGGTACATTGTCAATTTCGAAAAACCACAAATAACTATTTTCTACCAGTTGAGCCCCCTCTCAAACATAAATAACTAATTTCATTTTTACAGAAAGGACTGTTGCCTCTTGCGAACGCACAAAAGCTACTGACTGGCAAGATCTTCAAGATTCAAATAAAAAAGCTGTTTACAAGAAATAATGAGGCAGGAAAGTTAGTTATTTTATCTTTCATAGATAAAAGTAATTCGGTTGTCTCACAAATGCCGGCCACCATCAAGGATGTTGCGGAAGGAAGTAAACAAAAAATTGAACCCGCTGCCCCAGAGAAGCAAGAGCACCCACACATAACAACCAAAGGCAACGGTTCCTACAAATGTAATGCGGAAATGAAAATTTCCCCTCCGAAAAATTGCTGAGAGGTATTTGTAATTTCTGTTCCTTCTAAATTTAATATGAGATTCAACTTTGTAGAAAAAACAAACACCTTAAACGACTATCGTTTGTTAGCATTTTTGCCAGTGAAACATCTTTTGCTACTATTTTGGGATGCAAGTAAAGCCGCAACTTGCTGTTGCTTTTGAATACGGTTAAGGTCACTTTTACGACTGCTTTCTGGATATTCCTCTACTCGGAATATGTCGCATCGACACGAGGTTAGTATTCTTGATTACAAATCTACTAATAAGATCAATATTATAGAATGTATGGTGCAATTCTAATTACTTTGCAAGCCCGCCCCTTTCTATGATATTTTAGATCCAACTATGAAGCTATCAGGTCCTTCTGGTATGTCGACTGCTTATAGAACTTTAACTAGAAGGCTTAATAAAAATTCTATGAGCTAAGATTTCGAGCTTTTTCTACAGATGGCACAAGTAGAAATAATAGTGGATAAATGTTATCAGTCTAAAAAAAATTGAGATAAAAGCGGATAAACTAGTATAGCACTGTACTGTAGGTGCTATTAGCATTGACTTCAAAAGTAGGTACACAACATCATAAGTTAATAGCAAGGTATTATTTATTTGGAACAAAATATCCACTCTTGAATGTTGTCTGGTTGGCAAATAATACATTATTTACGTACGTAACAGTATCATATAATTATATGCATGTGTGTCATATTCTTTATATCATATATGGGAGAATTATTTACATTTTATACTATTTACACATTGACAAATTGTGATGCNACTATTTACACATTGACAAATGGTGATGCATTTTTTCTGCTGTATCTAATCTTCTCCTTAGCTTTCTTCTTAGTAGTTCTTCACCAAAATATACCTGTACAGTTATAAAATATTTGTTAGTGCTCAACAAAGTAATGGGTGAAGAACAACAAAGAATAAAAATTTGAAGTTAAATAGTGAGGAATATGCAAGTAAAGGAGTCGAGATATTTTTTTGCTGCATAAGTTTCCTGATTAAATTTTGGCTTCCTTTTTGGTCTCATAAAATTTTGAAATGCCTGATGAGATATATATTCTCCTTGATTTTTTATATACTGACAAATCACTTAAATAACCATTTTATGTCACCATGTAATGTATGTGCCGCTAAAGCTCTCTTTGGGAGGTAAGTCGAGTTATCACAATGCAAGAAAAATATCATATTTACTGGTATCCACCTCTATGCCGGCTTCAATGAACTAGCTAACATCCCACAAGAGTACTCTTGTGGATAGCTGCTCCACTTGTTGATCTGCCTGAGTTGTGCATTTGTGCTAAATCATGAATTTCCTTTCTCAACTTTTTCTCCGTAAATAATGATATCTTCTATTTCTTCAACAACTAAGTAATAACTAATATGGCTACTAAATTAAAGTCCCCATGGATATGTCCCATTAAAGATACGTATTTTGTTGTTATTGAGAGTGAGATGTTCGGATAGATTGTCTTATGCAATTTGGTGGATCTGTTTGGAAGTGTTAAACATAATGTTTCAAATGTTAGTTGGTAAGGTGTCACGTTAAGTTTGAAACAATATAATGTAATATGTATTTGGCACCAGTTTAAATGTTGAGGGAGGAACTTTCCTCTTTAATATGAGTACCTATTTTTGGAAAAACCGAAAAGGACAGCATTATTATGACAGAGTAAATAGAACTTGATGGAAACGTTGTACAGAGTAATATGACTCTTTTAATATATTGTTTAATATCTTTCTTTCTCTTCTCTGTTTCAGTTCGTGCTCTGTTTTTTGGTTGGTCAATCCTTCTGGAGCAGCCTTTCTTGGGTACTCAGAGGTACAATTTCACTTTCTTTAAAATGTTATCCGAGAATATGTTAGCCTTTTCACAATACTTAATACAAAGTGGTTTTAACGTTGCATCTAAGTATACATATATTGGCCATTTTCTTGCTCTTTGTTCGTTATCTTTTCCCGTCTTCCATAATATTTCATCTTCCTCTGTTCAGATTTTGCTGATTTATGCATTTCAATTAAAAAAAAAAATTGCATGCCCATAGGGCTATGCTAATGTTCTTGGTGTGGCGACTGGGCTATTCAAAGCTTAAAGTTAGTATATTTCATTTACCTGTTGTTGCTCGACTTTCCTTAGTTAACATATAACGGTACCTTTAACTATTGATGTTATTAAAGTAGTGTGCTTAAGTTTTGGCTAATTTAGGAGATCCAAATTATCTTTATTTTTTTAATGGTTTCTCTGTTACTATGGTTTCTTTCATTGTAGTTCTCCTCTAATTTTTCCCTGTCATTCAAATGACTATTTGATGAATTGAGTAGTTTTTTTTTTGGTCCTTCGATGCAGTTCTTACAGACTCTGATAGAATGTGGAATGAATTTTTGTTGAAAGCTAATACTATACAAGTTGTGCCATGAATTGTTATTTGAATATGATTTTCACAAATAAATCTAATATTGGAATTGAGATTGTGTGCTCTAATAAGATCTTTTCCATGCTTGAATTTAATTTTTATTTCGTTGCAGTTACGATCTTGTAGAACGTACTTAATTCCAGCTGACAAATTTTGTGCAAAGAGGCTTTCTTAGTTCCTCCAAGTCTATAGGGGCAAAAACGAACAACCTTGGCTATATGCAAAGAGGCCTTATTAGTCCATATTTCACATCAGAACATAAACAATGGAATCAAAGACATAATATGCTAGGCTATGTGCTAACCTTTACCTAGCCTACTTGGTTTTGTTAAAGCAAGTTTAACCGAATTACATTACTGATGTTGTTTACAGAGCATTACATCTGATGTCTTTAACTCTTTTTTTTGGCTTTCGTCGATTCAAAAACACTTCAACATGCCAGATTCGTTTTGATGTTCTGTTTTCTTTTGCTTTTATGGCCACACTTAAATCACCAATGATTTAAATTGATCTTTCTTGACATAAATTTAAATGTTTAAGCTATAAAGTTTATCGTGACTGCTTTTCTGTTTCAATTATTTTCTGTTTCATATATGCTGCTACTATTAAACAAGTACTTTTTTATGTTGCTTACCTGAAATTACAAGCATGTAATCTTCGTTGTAACCTTTTAATTTATAACACGTTTATTTGTTTGCAGATATTTTTGGCGAAGAACTAACAGGAAAAGGATCAGAAAAAAGACCAAAGACCGCATATGTAAATAGTTGTATCATACATGTTGTAACTGTTGTGACACTTTAGGCATCCCTTAATGTAATGCTCTTGTGAACGCATATATGTAAATTAAGTGTGTACCACTTAACATAAAATATTGTGTACTAGATTCCATACTTGCATCATTGAATTTTGAGTTAAATAACGTTGGGCCCGTGCTGGCACGGGCTACACCATCCTAGTCTTCTTTAGAAGAGAAAGAGTTTTCGACATGTGTGTTTCATGTCTTTTTTATAAAGCTCGAGGGTAATTTAGTCATTTCACATAAGCTCCTACAAGTTTCATATACGTGGCTGGGTTTGTGTACTCAAAACTATACGTGTAATTTTTATATGATTCCACCTGTATTTTAAGAAGATAGCACGTTAGGTTTTCCATTAATTTCTTTAAGATTACTTCTCAGATTACGGTCTTCCATGTCAGGTATGTTTCACTTTCAATCAATTTTTCCCATATCTTTTTTCTCCTTTTCCTTTGTTCTTTCTTCACTCTGAGTTTTTCTCCATCTACTATGAATTGTGTTGAGTTTCTATGCACTCTATTCCCTTAAATTTGGTTTACCCATTTCTTGGTGGTGGTATGTTGGCAGATATGTGTCGGTTTCCTTCAAACAAGAATTTGATAAAGCACAAACAGTCTATGTATTGCTTGCTATTTTATTGATTTCTCAATTCCGTGTCCCTTATTAGTCTTTTTGTTTCTATTATTTTGCACCTTTCTCCAATTTTTTGAGTTGCGCCTCCCTATTTCTGCAGGATCCATTGATGGTGTACATAATGGTATGTATATGTGCTGCTAATTGCTTTTTACTATTATTTCATATAGTTGGTATTTTTTCCACAACCAACTACGCAATCGATAGCGGTCTCATTCTTTTCATGACCCAATTTTGATTCCTTAGGTAAAAACCTCTGATGTGGAGGTGTTTGANGTAAAAATCTCTGATGTGGAGGTGTTTGATAAAAAAAATTCAATGAATTGGATTTTCTATTTGATTTCTTATGCATTTGTAGTCTTTTCCATCCTTCGAAGGTAAGGGAGAAAATAGAAAATTGCCAGCGAATGTTTGACACTATTATCTACACCTCTATCATGTTTTCTATTTTCACCACAGAGCATGAGAGTTGTAACTATTTGTATTTCATGTCTTTCATTTCTTCTTCACGAATGAAAGAAACTAAATTTTGACGAATTAATTAAAGTTGGACTAAAATTTAAATCCAGTGTAAAGAATTTCAGAAAATTCAAATTTATTCTTGATTTTCTTTGTCCTCCATGGAGAAGCTCCTTGCAGTTTAACTATAAATTGAGCATGATTTGCTGAATTTCATGACTTTCAGATACAATCACTACTTCACTAGGTGATGAAGCAGTCTATTGTTTGATTATAGATATCATCTGCTGAAACTAAGAATCTCATTAGCCATGTAAGTTGATTAGAAGATATTCATAAGTTATGTGAAGATTTATGCTGATGATGTAGCTATATTTGTTTGTCCTGTATCTTATGACGGACATTTCAAAGAGATTTTTCCTTCAGGAGATCTTGGACCACCCTTGAATAATTAAGACAGCTAATCCGAATGGAGCTTGCTAAAAGTGATATTTTCGCATACTGCTCTCACCTCGAGTCTTTCATCCCGTTTGCACCAGTTGAATAACGTCCAGCATCACAAAATTTGACAGAAGATTCGTAGTAGACGTGAAATTCTTGAGAGTCTATACCTCTTGTGCAGGCAGATGACAAAAATATTAAGGTTGCAGGAAACGAAGTCAACAACGAGATCTTTTGAGAATTAATAGGCTGGATCTAAGGGGAATCTGCTGGAAGGCATTTGTTATTGAAACACAAAATTAAGTGAATTTTCCTGAAGCTATAGAATTTGGTAAGTGACTTCTACTGTAAATCAGACATATAGCTGTTTATATGCCTAAAGCAATTGATTTCAAAGTATATATCTGTTTAGCTTTTAATATGCCTGAATGTTTTTATATTCATTAAGTATCAAGTTTAACATTTGTAAGGGCAACTAATCTGTCATATCTGCTTGACGAAATTGATATTCACATTTACAAGGTTAAAGAGGAAACTTTTAGTAGGAGAGATATGACCGGCCTTGAAAAGGCAGCGGAGTGGTTGGATGTATGTCGCCGATGAGTACCGGCTGGAGGAGTACAAGTGGTTGGAAATTATGTTGTGTTTTTAGCCGCTTATGCATATTTCTGCACCATTCTTCTTTTTCAATAGTTCCCGCATAGAAAAAGAAGTCCTTGACGTAACAGTTATAGCCTCAAGTCTATATAGAAGGAATATTCAAACACAAAAAATAACAGTCAACGACATATGGATAATTAAACCAATACCAGCTCATGATACAAGTACAAACTTTCAAAAGTCAACGACATAAATCTTTATATCCTCCTTCAATAAAAGTTATAACAGCGTGATAAAAATTAAGTAAGTTAACAAAAAGATAAAAACTTAATATATGCTACTTAAGTAAAGAATATGATGCTTATCAGAGTTTTAGAGTGAATTCAGGCAACTTAAATATTGAAATGACGGAGGTAAATCTACAAGTTCAGATCTGGAGCGCCGCCAAAGGAACATATTGCTTGGACGGAGGGAGAGCACAGGTCAAGTCAATAACCGTTGAGCTTCAGTCTGTTGTGCAATATTAAGCTAGATATCTTTTTCTTATGTGCTTATAAGAATTCATGAGTATATATCTTCTGTGTCGTAGAATACTGTAGATCGTTTGTTTTAGCCTATGTCATGTTTCCGTCACCTTTTTATCTATGTGGATCTACCATATAAATGACTAAGAAAATATTGCACTTAAACGATTAGTAAGTTCCAGATAAGTTAATAACACTTTGTAGCCTTCTTTGGGAGATAAATGCGAAAATGGATTGCCATCTATCAAATTCTCTCCGTAGTGAGAAGAAGATTCAAGCGGAGTCTTCCAAGTTTCTAATATACTACTTCTTTTACTTTCTTAATGCCTACTAAATGCATAATTAATTATATCATAGTACTTCTATCAATTCCATATATTCACCTGCAAATATATACTTTCATAGTTGGTTGGTGTTTATTTATTTTCGGAAGCTATTTTAGTGGTATATAGTCTTCTCCTAAGCTGATTTTTTTTAATGACAAAGGTTGGCTGCTAAGTTGGACAATATAGCAAGTTATTGATAGCGAATGTTGAGGATGTGCGTATGTTGTACTTGAAATTACAAACAATGGATATTATTTTTTATAATAGTTAACTGTGGTAGGACTAAACAATTCTAGAGGCACATAATATTCTTATGTCCTCTTTTGCTCATATTTTTGTATAGAAAAGTTTCATATTATGCCCATGTTGTACAGAAAATAATTTTTCTTGTGGATATCCATATTGATTTCTGTATGGACTACTATTTTCACTAAGAACCAACACAGTTGAAAATATAAACTTTAGATAAGTATTTTACTTTCATAAAAAAATAGATAATATTTTAATTCCAGTCAGGCTGGAATTCTGTTGCTTTAGGTCAGAATGTTGATCATATTTTCTCTGCCTATTTAAGTAATTACATATGTTATATTAAAACTATAGATGGCTATTTTCTAATTTGAGTTATTTTCTTTAGGAAAAACTATATGACTTTCCAGGAAAGGTCTGAACTAAAAGAAAAATTCTTAATCATAATGTATATGCCAAGAAGCAAACACTTGATAGCTAATATTTGAGAAAGATTAATCTGTTTGAGAAAGGAGAGAAACAAAAGATACTTTAAAGATAGCAAAACTTCAGTTCAACATTTGAAACATCGGACTCTTTTTTCATACTTTTGGTGTAAAACGTAGATCTTTGAATATAAATAATATAGAACTAATGCTAGATTTCATTAATTTTCTCAATAGCTAGAAGCATTGTTATGCCATTGGTATTTTGTCATACTGAATATTTTGGTTGATACTGCTGAAATCTGTTGGTCTATCTCTGATTAGTGCGTAAAAAGATATTAACTTGCTTATTGAGAGAGAAAAGCATCAGTTTTGGACTTATATAAGATTGATTTGTTTGAAGATCAAAGTGATTCAGTGAGCTTTGGTTTGGTAACCCTATGTGTTATAATTTGTTTTTTACTGAATTGGTTGTTTTCTCAACTAAGAGACCGTAGTAGTGCCTTTTTTGCTTGTGTAATATCTATACATGAGACATTTTCTATTTGTGGGTTTGACTTGTAGGATTATGATGGAATTTTATATAATTGTATGAACTATGAAGCATGACGGATTTAGTCATTGACACTGTTATTTCTGCTAATGAATCTGGTTTTCGAATTGGAGTTTAACTTGCAGAGATTGTTGCAGGCATACCCAATGAGATGTTGTCCAGATTTTTCAGTGATGGATTCTCATCTTGTAGTTCCAATGAAATTTGCAAGCTGAATCCATGAGTGAAACAAAGAAAAAAAAAAGATTGGACGTAAATAGCAAAGAGAAGACGGATGTATAAGGTGTTGCAAGCATCAGAGAAGATGAAATCTAAAATACTTTAAGAGAAAGGTCGAAAAGAAAAGCAAAAGGAGTGTATTGGTCCTTGGTATGATTGTGAGTATTGGTTTTGGAACATATGCTTTGCTGTTTTGCATTGCTGTAAGCAATAGACAGCTGGAAAAAATTGGTGATTTCAGTGCTCATAGGTTTTTGACAGAACAAATCAAATGATGCAGTTTATGATAAAACACCACAATAAGTCTTTTATATTATTCCCAACTTATCTCTTTTGTGAAGATTTTTTTTTCCTTCTAAACTATGTAGGAATCCAGTAGCCTTAGATGTCCTAATAGGGGCTTTGCAAGATGCTTATTTTGAGGAGCATTTCTTTGACAACAAAATATAAGAGTTTTCCATTTTATGTCACATGCCATGCCAACTGTTTATCGAGACTTCGTTGCAGGTTATCCGATTCTAAAACAACACAGGAATTGATATACTTTACCGAAAATAGGATAAATATATTTATGACATCAAGCTTAAAAATGCAAAATCGCGCCTGTGCTACTTCGTATTTTCTGCACTTCTAGCATAGGTATGTATACATCATTGACTAAATAATCAATTGACTACCGGAATTAGCTGTAAAAAAGCAACAACCGCTTCAAAATCCAAATGTTGGGTCTGTGCTGGCACAGGCCATGCCCCATCTAGTAGTACTTACAATTACAAAGAATTCAACAAATCAAAACAACTGATTAGGTATATAAATATCACTGAAGACAGAGAAAGTGAACAAAAGAAAAGAAAAAGAGCTTACGATTCTCCATGGGAAGAACCAAATGGTCGCTTAAGTTGAGTATTACCATGTACATCGACGGTTAATCGCCTCATGCTGCAAAGAAAAACAAGTTTTACAAATAAATAAGAATCTTATTCTCTAATAACGAGAAGAGGAATTAATCTATATTTATATTGGATCAATAGAAGTTATCATTCTTCTTTATTGTTTTTAATACCTTTTTCTTTTCTTCTTCTCTCTAACGTTGGAGAACTACGAAGAAAATGATGTGTAAATATACCTTGTAACGTGACGATATATATTGTTGGATATTCGTAAGCTTCTTTCCTTCTATCCATGCATATCTTTTGTAGCGTGTATTAATTTACTTGTTAATTTATATTACTATGGTTAAAATCAACATCCAACTAAAATAGGTAAGTGCATACATATATTAGTTTTAACTTGGTAAAAAAGTGTTTTCTCATACAATTTTCTCAACTTACCATGTTAATTAACATATAATTTTATCTCATTAAGTCACTTAACCATAATAATTTAATATAATCTGGGACGACGGATAAGTTTTTACTGTTTTAATCGGATAAGTTTTTACTGTTTTAACTTTCATATATTTCAATTTATCTCCCCTCTTATGCTATATCTTCTCCAAAACTCTTGTCTTCTTCAAACCACTCAAATCTTTCAGCCCTTTTCCTCAATTCAATTTCTGAATAGTTCTGAATTTTAAATAAAAATATTAAAAGAAGGAACGCCGATTTACTTGATCATTTGCAAAAAGGAAAATGATGTGATTCAAGTAAACCATGAGTTTAATATGTAATGCTAATAAAATCATATCTCTATGCATTTAAAATGGGACAAAGAACTCCAAGCAGGTAACAAAATATTCCAAGGATTTCTTGAGAAAATTTTTATTTGAAAACATCAACCTATCTCAAGTAATCATGAAACTGGAGATGGAACCCATGATTACACCACGTAGAACTCATAACGAACTAAGGGGTCGTTTGGTAGGGTGTATAAGAATATTGCGGAATAATGTGTATTAGTAATGCATGTATTAGTAAAGCAAACATTAGTTATGCAAATATTATTTCTTATCTATTGTTTGGTGTGGTGTATTAAAATTATAATGCATTGCATAATTTTTTTAAAAAATAGTTGCTTACAAAAATGTCTTCCATATTCTCTAGCTTTAAGGGACTTTAAGGACAATTTTGTCTTTAACCATGCTAATGCATGCATTAAAGCCTTGGTATTACTAATGCCATGGTTTTCTATGCATTACTTATGCATAGGATAATGCCAAGTATGATGTATAACTAATACAAGTTGAAAAAGGTACCAAACAAGATATTAGTAATGCATAGAGCTAATGCTTGCATTATTTTTTCTAATACCTCCTACCAAACGACCCCTAACTCTTCACAGGAGCTCCCTCTCTAAGTATCCGATAAGGATAATAATTTCGGGATAAAGTTTGGGATTAACTTTATCTTATGTTTATGTTTGATTTGCATTATTAGTTAATACCGGATAACTTTTAGGGGTCTTTTGTTATAAGGTATAAGAAGGTATAGGGGTGATTTAAAAATTTAATACCACCTTAATATTCTGTTTGGTTAGCAAACCAGATATAAGTTATTCCGGTGTTAATTTTAACACCAGGATAACTTATATCTTATAGAGGATGGGGTAATTAGCACCGGTATAACTTATACTTTCTTAGAAATTATGCAATTGTCATTCTTAATACAACATACCAAACAGTGAATAAACAATAATCCCAACATAACTAATCTCAGCATAACTTATCCCAACATAACTTATACCGGTAAAAGATGTATTCCAACCAAACGACCCCTAAGGATGAAGGTTAACTGATTGATGCGTTGCCTATGCATGGAAATAGCTGAAGAATCTGGCAAGAATTTAGTGAACCTTACACCTCTTAGCGAAATGTCGTTCGCTTTTTTATCCTTTAAAAATAATATATATATTGAACAAAATTATAATTTAATTATTTTGTTAATTTTTGGGATAGTAAATCAACTAAAATTTTGGTTATTAAATCTTTCCTTTTTTGAATTGTCCTGATATTTAGGAATTCAAAAGCAAATATTTCTACTTATATATATATGGTAATATATATTTTGTATTCAAAATCGGATATGCGTAGTCTAGGCATGCATTTTAAATTCTTATTTATATATATATTAAAGCAAGAAAATTACCATANATATATATATATATTTAAATGTAAATAAATTATTTCAAAATGAGATTATTTTTAAAAATATAATGTAGCTTAAAAAATAAAAGGATAAGATATTTTTGAATTTTAGTAGAATTTTTAAATTATTATAATAGAAGTCATATCATGGACAAAATCAAGAAATCAAAATCTTATGGAATATTTATATAAATATCTGGCCAGGTTTATTGTTTATATAACTAATGTTCATAGATGATACACTGGCAATACACGATTATACATATATTATATATGGATTATGTATAAATTACACATTCTTCAATTTTTTAATTTAAGTGGTAAGACAAGCACTTATTTAGGTTGATTAGATAAATCCAAAAGAAAAATATGGAAGAATTTCAACTAAAGACTAAAAATATAAATAAAGTTCTTATGTAGACAATTTCTATTTAAACCCATCCTTTTATATAAAAATAAATTAATTTTTTGTAAAAAAAAAGGATATAAAAAATAAGATAAAAGAAAAAAAAAATGTATGAAAAATCTAATAACTAGAAATCTATATTACTACTATTAATAAAGGAGAATCGAGAGGAGCTTCCGGTCAAAGTGAAATGACTGAAAAATCCTGGTATTTTAGTTTATTCTATAACACGCGTCATTCACATCACTAAGCCATTAGGTCCCACTTAATAGAGTAACTTTTAGCATTGTTGACTCAATTTTTCTTGTGAACTATCTTTACAAATTTATATTGCACTCATAAATAGTTATCAGAACAAATATATATAGTCAGCAAAAAGAATCTAAAATGAGAATGCATTTGATTTTGTTAGGAAATTTGGTGCCATTAATTACTAAGACTCTAGCTATTTGGTTTTAATATATCTGATAGTATATCCTTACAAGTTTGCCATGAAATTAGAAAAAGAAATTCTCTACTTTTATACTATGTAAGTTATAGTGGTACTTAATAGTTTTATCCACATTAAATGTGTTCACCCAAAATAATTTACTATATCTTCACATAAATACTCCTAACACATGCTCCAACATTATTTACTCCAAGAGCAATGTAGGGAAAAAATAACTAATTCATTCTTGAAATCTGGAAAAATCACTTATTTTAGACCACAAAAAAAGGCTAAAAGATTACTTATTTTGGAACGGAGAGAGTAACATAATGTATAATAAAAAGTGAAACTTACATACATGTCCCAAATAAATCTCAACTTACCAACATCTAGCCATTAATCATAGACTTACCAAAACTAGCCAACAAAAATTGAAAAATCTTATAATAGGGTACTTTCTCTCAAAGAATCACATGCAAAACTTACCTTCCATATTTTTAAGCGTGATTATCAGCACTAGATACAAGGCGGAAAGGAAATTTTATGGATGAGGCAGCAAATAAGGTGATGAAATACAAAAAATATATACAATATTCCAATTTTCAATGGGCATAGTTGAAATTTATTGAAAATATATAGATAAGTTAATATACAAAATTTGAGGAAGATTGGAGGTGATTTGGACTGGTTTTATATTAAAATTCGTAATTAAATCGAGTTCAAAAAAGTCTTCTGTGACACATGTATCACACGTGTATCTCACACACATGTATACATGGATATACATGTGATACATAATAGATACAAATATGATACATATGTGATACATAAATGATACATAATGTGATACACATATCATTTTTTTCATGTTCATTTTTTACCGAATTTTCAATTCAAACCACCTCAAAACTTCACCAAATCATCCCAAAACTGAGATTCAAGCTCCTTAAGTTGTGCTCAATTTATTCTAATAACACCCACTCAAAACAAAGCAAAAATTTAATATTTTTTTTGCTACAAATAACATTTTGGCTAATTTGGCTAATATTAGTAATATATTATCAATTGGTCAATTTTTATAATGAGCTACCAATAAATGGACATAGCTGGTAATTTCCCTAATAAAAAAGATAGCTTTCTTTATGTTGGGCCCGGGCTCCGCTAGTATATATTAAAGCAAGAAAGTTACCTTATATAATTGCATTGCGGTTAAGCCAAGTGGCAAGTTAATAACTGCATATAGTATATGGTATATATATATATATATATATATATATGTATGTATGTATGTAAATTTGAATTTATATATATATAACTGAATTTGAATTAAAGAATAATTTTGAATTTATAGATAAAGTTTTTAAATTTGAATTAATATAAAAAAAGAAATTTATCTTTTTTTGGTCAAGTTATCATACTTAA